CAGGACAATTGTCCTGGTGTGGAACCTACCCACATATTCTAATGTCCAGCAATGGCCGCAGCCTTGAAGAAAATTGACATGGACCCAGAGCAGCAGCTTTACACACCCAAGATAGTGAACATTGCTGTGATAGAGATGTATGGAGACATCTGACATTGGACACGACAACAACCACATTAAATCATCATTAATCAGCATATCATAAATCATCGAATTATCATTAAATCATTATCAATAATTCTCTCGGCAAACTTCCCATCTATATTTCTGTTAAAGCAGCGGCCACTTTTGTCAGCTAAACGCGTCTTTGGCAAATTGTGAAGCTGTCTTGAATACCTTGTGGATACCACCCTGGAGCCATAGTCGGAAACAATGGTTTCCCAATGGACGTCCTGAATCTGCTAAAGAAACCGTTGTGGTTTTGTCACCAGGCAGTCTGCTAGTATACAGGAGCGGTCAAAAGGTGGTGCATAGGTGTTGCATCTATTTCGACGGGAGAGGTGACCTTTATTTTCTAAATGGGATTTGTTGACCCTCAATTTGTCCGATAGCGAGAAAACGCGTCACAGCCCGCAACGTTTATTCCACACACACAAAGTGCACGCGGTACAGTCCATGAAATTCAGGGCGGGTAGTTAGCGACTGTTTTTAACTGTAAGTGCACCACAAGTCTATACATGTAGGAAGCAATTCAACTTTTGCACTTACAAATGTGCTAAAGCCCCATTTTGGTTGCTTGCACTCAAACAGGACTAAACTTTTGCAAGAATTGGTGGTATGGACATTGAGGCGCTTCTTTTCTCTTTAGAAAAAAAAAAAAGTCCAATGCGGGTTTCGATCCCGTGTCGTGTATGTCGAAAATCAACAGTTTAAACCACTCCTCCACCATCCATCTCTTATCAACCGTGGCTTCAATAAACGGTCTTATTCAGTGAAGGACGATCCAGGTTCCCTGAATGAAGGTTTCATCATACATCAGTCACCTCTCGAGATATCTAGATCAGCTTCCTATTACAAGGCTGACAGTCCAGTAAGAAGGCTGGGTTGTGAAAGATCGCAATAAATTTGGAAAGGATGCTCTGACAGGCGCGATTTTCAACTCGGCCGTGATGAAATCAATCAAAGAGAGGATATATATATAAAAAAAAAAACTCTCCTATCAAGTTAAACGTCTAAAAAAATGTCATGCAACATCTGCTAAACATCTCAGCAATCACAAGTATTCCCTGCACCAACTTCTTTCTTGGAACACTCCTTCTTCAGTCCGTCTGAGTCTTCCCACCTTTGGATGGCTCACATGATATCATAAAGGCTGAGACACTTGCCTCACTCTGAGGAATGAAACACATACATTACGGCATCAAGAGAAACCACGCTGACAGAGGGCGAGGGGTGTCAAGAAGATGGATGGATCGGTTTACCTGCCGTCCCTTTCAGAATACCCCTCCTCGGGTTCTTACATGGAACAACCGAGTTGTAAACGTGCATTCTAGGCAACCTTACGTCGCAAGGAATCCTATTGACTGACAACATCGCTGCTGAACGTCAAATTGAACGTTCTTCACGACAGGGTTCATTCTTTAGTCTACGAGTGTTACAACATCCTGCCCTTATTTGACCCAAAACTTTCAGATCTTTCGGGTCGAAATTTTATGATAAGCTGGAAGCTTATAAAACTGAATACTGAAAAACTAGTCTGAAACCTCGTAAAATGGCTGCTGGATAACACGAGGAGTCTCTTAACACAGATAACTGTGGGTCTAGATTGTTTTAGCTTCATACAAGTGCATTTCTTATGCTTAAGGCAGGGTCAAGAGCGTATATGAGAAGTACGCGGAAGATATCGTTGTGAATAGGTCACAGGTTGAGGTGAGCGCCAATCTACGGAGGATCGAATTCCTGCTAGGTTTCTCCAACGTCGAACTTGTCTAGAAGAACAACGCTTAGATCGAAGCTACACGAGGTTCGTAGAAGTGATCGCCCCAGGAATCTCACAAAATTGCCTTGAACCTCCTGCCCATTCAGATCCAACGTGATAAAGCAGTATCAAGAGAACTAATGTAGCCGATCGCATTTAGATTATTCCGGTCTCCCCCATTCTGACGTCGATGGTAGTAGGGCAACAGCGTTCCTCCTCAGTCTATGGAGTCGTTCCGTAACTTGGAATCAAATCTTGCTTGTTCCATCAGTAGAGACAACTGTAAAGGTAACTGTAAAGTGCCTTAAAGGTACAATTCTTGGGTTGTCACAAAAACAACAAAGCGTAATTTCCGTCGTGTATGGAATAAACCTTCATTAACAGCCATCTCATGAGCAATCTCCTCTTGTAAAAATCGAAAATGGCTTGCCCCGCCGATATCAACTACTATTGGCAGGATCACATTCGCAAGGAGAGACCAGAACAGCTTCAACCGTATCAACATTTTACAATACAGTGACACGAGTGAGTCTGCAATTGCGAGCTATGGTACGCTGTTTACTTGAGGTCAAAATACTTAACCAATACGACAGAGGTGAATACGTGTTTTTAGACATCAAGACCGGGAAACCGAGCTATGCTAGGACAATTCCCCGTCGATCCGCCAACTTCGGACTTGGCAGAGTCCAGATCGTATCCCAGGGCAGGGAGGTAATAAAAAAAAAAGGAGGAAGGATCCTAATTGGGAAACCAAAGTCGTTAAGCTGAGGAGAACGGCCGCGGATAATGATGGACCAATCAGCAGGACAACATCTCCGGGCCGTCGGTCAAATCAGGAACTTTTACTTCTCCTCTGTTTATCCCGGGCTATGTCCGCTAGATTGAAAGTATCGTGGAGGTTTGACGCGGTGGGTTATTTCCAGCGATGGCAGAGGACGTCCTGGCGGTCAAGGTCGGGATGAGTGGGATGGTTACTCATACTTCCCGCACAATTATCCTCCCTCAGACTGTCTGTCTGTGGCTGGCTTCACGGTGGTCCTTGCAAAACTGCCGTATTGTATGTGTCGCATTGTTATTCCCACCTCAAGGCACAATATAGTCTAGATATAACATTAACTAAACAGCAGGCAGAGTTTAAAAAACGCCATTTCAGCACCGCTGATCACATCGATCATTAATTTCCTCATGACAAGACAATGGATACGTGGAAAAATGACACCGTATCTTAGCTGTCAGCATAGCCCTATTGGATCTATCCTTATGTCTGTCAACTTTCACCGTGTGAGAGTGATATTTTTTAATGATTAAATGAGAAGAGAAAGTGTTTTGTTTAGAGCCTCTTCCCCTGAAACTTCTCGTTTAGACATAAACATTTGTCAAATTAGAGTCTCAGAGAAGATACCTCTACCAGAAAAGCTGTGTAGTCCAACACGGTGACACCACATCATTGGAAGAACAACATATCCCAAGGGTAATTTGTCGAAATTATGGCCATTTACCCAACCCCGCCTAAAAACGGTTGCTACGTCACTTAAATATGCTCGCAGCTAGAGGGTCTTCAATCTCTTGTCGTTATCGAGGACCGTTGTCTACCTTTCTGACAAGTTGGTTGTCTCTAAGTTGAGGTACGTAAGACATCGGTCTTGCTGACGAGAATCAGAACACATTAAGGCACGGACCATCAACCTTGTCCAAAAGTCATTACTTTCTTTCAGGGTACGAATCGACATCACAGAGAACCTATTGATACTTATCCAAAGCATACCAGGTATATGCTCGTTTTGGGAGGCGTCGACAGGTATAGATGCATTCTTTTGAGCCTATCAGTCTCAATAAATGGCGAGCTGAAGACGGCCGAGAAGGCAAGGAGGACCAAAAAGGAATAAAAAGAGGACACGAGAGAGGTAAACAAACACGGCTAAGTGGAACACAAGTGACACTCCAGAACACACGCAATTAACAACACGGCTCGAATCTACACACGGAAGCTGTCTATATAAAACCGCTTCCACCGTGTCGAACAATATTGACTTCCGAATATAAAGTTTTTGTAGCTAAAAATGGAGAGGTTTTTTTTTTTTTTTAATCAGTGTTTTAGTGAAGTTTTGTTTCGCAGTGGCCCGCAAACATTGGTTGTATGAAAGACTTGTAAATCAATATTCCATCCTCTATACGTTTTCCTTATCCTATTTCCAGGCATTCTCTGAAGTACAGCGACCTACCGGAAACATATGCTACCGGAGAGAAATGGGCAACACTACTAAAACAGAGGGAAAGTTTTCCGGGAAGAAATTGGTCAGAGACACCTTTCCTGTTAACATAGAGATGCCATTTCGGTGAATTTTCGGAAATTTCATTATTAACATTACCTTCCCTTTTCCTTCACTATTCTTTTATTCCAGTTCTTTGCCTTTTGGATCCAAATTGAAGAACTTGTAGAAGACTAAGTTCTCAATAAAAGTATTGCTTCATTCCCTCGTTGATCCCTTAGACCGGCGAGGGTCATAGTCCAAAACCGTGACTTGTCACTTGCCAGAATTGGTGGCTTGTCACTGACCCGACCGAGTCTGCTAGATTTCTGAGACGGTCCTCAGATGGCGCTTAATTTTGTGGTCCAACTTTATGGGAGAAAGGTCTCTTTATCTTACTATTGAGTTACATATATAAATTTATTCAATTTGGCAATATTCTTTTGAGGAGGTGGTGGGTTCAAGACTGAGAAACGAACAAAGTCAGTTATAACACATAACTAAATGATAGCAACATTGGCCTTGAAATTTCTTTATAAAGCTTGACTATTAATTTTCACAAAAACGCCTCATTTATTGATGTCATTTCTCTTTGGTCTCTCGTGATCCAAGTTTCTGAAGTTGCAGAAGGCGAAGCAGGTGAGTAACAGAGAGTTCAAGAGGTCCTGGAGATAAACCATGCAGGTGAAGTCTAGCCTTTGCCAGAGTGGGTAGGGGAAGTTAGCTGACACACAGAGAGAGCCTCAGAAGTCCAGAGGACTCGAGAGTGATACATAGCACGGACTGTTAGAGAGAGAATGTGGTTTTACGGGCTACTAAAGAAAAAAGGTAATAGCCTACAGTACCCGGTGTTCCCAGGTGGTCACTTTCCCAAGTATTGACCAGGCCTGACATTGCTTAACTTCGGTGATCGGACCGGTGTTTTCAAGGTGGAATGGCCGTAGGCGGACAAGCCAACCAAGGTAGAAAGAACGGCCAGGAATCCCAGAGGAAGAGATATCCTCCATCCTTCCGTCGCCGACGTCCGTCACGGCACAAAACTATTATTGCCGGGGAAGTAGGAAAAGTTGTCACCCACCAGGTCTCCCAGCTATGTTTGTTTTCTCTCTCCGCTTTCAATTTCACCGTTTCTTTTATCGCGGGACCTCTCTGTTTAATCGCTCAAGCAAGGCGGGTTCAGTTTCCAAACCAAATATGTCCGGATGAGAACGGGGAAGTGTTTACGTTACCGCCGGTAACCCGAACAGTCTGGGAAGGTTATGTGTGGCTGAGACAACCGAGACTCGGCACATTTCCTGAGGAAGACAGAATGGTTACAAGCCGAAAACGTGAAGAAAAAAATTCGACAAACTCCAAAGTCATCTAGACAAAGGTAACCCAACCAGATTTATAAACATGCAACTTTCAAAAAAAAAAATACAAAGAGATATGCAATGTGTCATATTTTCTTTCGTCGCACACTACGTCAATAACAATGTTGTTGTTCCAATAATTATTATAACAGAACATCAGGTTGGATGTCCGCATAGTTCCTGCAGATACCACGGCTGATTGATTTATGGCAAAAGCAGAGAGTCCGATCAGGACTTACAACTTGGTATAACATAGATTGCCGGTCCCAAGCCCGGATGAAAAAGGAGGAGGGGGAGCAGTAACAAGCTCACTAAAAAACCTGGGCTCAGCTGGCCCGGCTGATAGTACCCTGTAAGGGCTCCTAATCCAGGTATACAGGATGAGCAGCATTTGTACTCCATGTTAGGAGCGCCTGCACATGGCGTCTGTCCTTCATGTCAGAGGCGGCCATTTCTTTTAGAGCTAAGTCAGTCTGCCACTGAGTAGTGCTCCCAGTCTTAATGACAAAGGCAGACGCATTCTACTTCACCCAGTCATGATGGCTTTCAAGTCTCAAGCTCTACAAGCTTGATACCCTAATATGATTGAATGGAGATAAGAAAGAAGAAGACATAGAAGGGAGGACTCCACTCGATGACAAGTGGTACGTGCATTTACTACCATTTACTATCATGATAAGGTGCCACAAAATATCTCGTGAATGAGAGAAAACGAGGGATAAAGGAATCAAAATTGGAAGAAAAAAAAACGGCGATTAACTTCGGCGCGTCACGCCATTAACTTCTATTCCGAAACAGACCACCTGCCCTCACTGTTCAGAAGAACCACAGACAGTTGATCATCGATTCAGCTATCCAGCATTCCTGAGAAATAGGATACAAACAGCTATCCTGCTTGAACTGACCCACCTCGATCCTACATCTATGGCTAGCATCCCAGACCCGACTTCACCATGGAACTTTCAATTGGTTCAACTCAGCAATCCACTCAGGACACGATTAAAAGGGCTTGGCACTAGTGAGCTGGACTTCCCAGGAATTAAAGCGTTCTGTGTTCCCTGGCTTATAAAGTCAAGGGCTGGATGACGAAGCCCTCGCCATCCTCACGTCTGCCAAGTCATTAATTCACAGGTTCTTTCTGAGCCTTGAGATGAGGGGAGAACGTGACTTACTGTCTGGACTCGTTGTCTCCTGGACTGTACATAACAGTATATATTTTACTCTTTTATTTTATCCCTCTTTTTACAATTATTATATAATACCACCATTGACTTGTGTATGAGGTCAATAAAATATTTTTAAATCTCAATCTCTCTCCGTCATCAGCCAAAAGTACTGAATGCTGTTGGATCGTTTTTGAAGACAACTCTCAGATTTATAAAATTAAACATTTTTAGATATATAGAAACGAGTTAATTATCTCGTATTTAAGGCAACAAAAGATTCATCTAATTTTTATACATTTTCTAACCAGATTCAACTTGTGAAAACAGACGACAAAGAAAAGAATAAACAAATTAATAATAGAGGGTAAGTTCCTATTTTTTGCAAGCTTTCACACTCAAAGAATATTCAACTTCTTGCTTCAAATGCGCTGTTACCAAAACGTCACACAGTATTTAGTTGGTCTTATTACTTTGTGTTTCTAATCCTACCTTTTTATTCTATTTCCCTACTACGTTTGGAAGTATGAAACATGCTCTCAGGCACTTCTTCACTATTTCTTGTTGGGTTGTAGGTATTATTTCTGTAATTCTCGTTTTTTTTTTTTTTTGGCAGGTGGTCATCGAAGGTGAACTTAGCATCCTAAATGGTAACAGAGAAAATTAATATAATCTATGTGTGAGAGATATTTCTGTAGCAGCTGCTGTATCAAATGTTGATGGTTTACTTGATATGAGGAGGGGGTCGGTGGATGAGTGGTCTAAACCATTAGTTTTGACAGCTAGAATCCGGGATTAAAAATCCAACTTTGAGCATTAAAAAAAAAAAAAAAAGAAAAATACTCCAATGGCCCCTGATTCCAGCAAAAGTTCAACCCCACCAGCAAGTGCAAGTAAACAAACGGTGCTCTGGAACACTTGTAAGTAAAAAGTTGAACTGCTTTACATATGTGTAGATGTGTGGTGCACTTACAGTAAGAGTACCACCATTCTACCTACCATGATTATTATGGCCTGTATAACACATACTAGATGCAACCATTTACTCAATAATCTACTTCTTCACTGTGTTCTATGCACGAAAAACGATGTATATAGTCTTTTGTACATAGATATTCTTTTCTTCTTTTTCTCTTTTCTGAGTGAGGATTCAATTTCTTCCCCTGCTTCTCATTTCTTCTTAGATTCATTTCTAACAGGAGAATCGTCTGTATAAGATGGAATGTCTTAATAAAGGCTTGTGTGTGTGTATAAGGTATACTAGGGCTAATGTTGTTATGAATTTATTTGTTTTTGCTTATAATTACTCTTTCATGTTTAATATCCAAATTGTGACATTATTATATGGGAAGAGAGCCAAACAGGTCATCTGAGAGAAGTCCATGACTTAAGCAGCACTTTAAATAAATTAGGCTTCATCAGAGAGGCCGGCCGTCATCTCTGGGCATTCTTCCAGATTCTCTCTCTCCGACCCAGCTCCATTCACACTGACAATGGAGCCATTAAAAATGCATTTACTAACTGAATCAAAACCATGTATTTACTTACACTCAAGGGCAAAACTTAAGTTATACCTAATGATGATTTATCACCTGAATACCATCAATCTATTAGAAAAACTCAGGTCTCAGGACCAGCAGGAATACATTGGCTGTTTATCCCAATCCTTCTCTCTTTATTTATCTCTAAGCACATTAGCTTGTCACATATAGATAACAGTAAAAAAAAAACTACTTGGGTTCAGATTGGATCAATATCCACTCATGGACAAAACTCAAGGAAGTTGTACCTTTCAGCATGTATATCGGGATTCAGACAATAACTAGAAAGATACACTCATAGACAAAACTTAAGGAAGTTGTACCTTTCAGCATGTATATCGGGATTCAGACAATAACTCTGAAAGATACACTCATGGACAAAACTTAAGGAAGTTGACCTTTCAGCATGTATATCTGGAATCAGACAATAACTCTGAAAGATACACTCATAGACAAAACTTAAGGAAGTTGTACCTATTAGCATGTATATCGGGACTCAGACAATAACTCTGAAAGATACACTCATGGACAAAACTTAAGGAAGTTGTACCTTTTACCATGTATATCGGGATTCGTACAATAACTCTGAAAGATACACTCAAGGACAAAACTTAAGCAAGTTGTACCTTTCAGCATGTATATCGGTATTCAGACAATAACTCTGAAAGATACACTCATGGACAAAACTTAAGGAAGTTGTACCTTTTAGCATGTATATCTGGATTCAGACAATAACTCTGAAAGATATTACAGTGACCTTTATTGAAGACACACGAGTAACAACCAAGGCAGAGAATTATATTCTTATTTCCATATATGACAAAAGTACTGATGACAATGCTGTTAATCAAAACATCACATATAATTTTAGTTATTTGAATTTGGTCTATTCACCATGTCTTTCTTCTTCTTCTTTCTTATCTCCACACTGGGTGAAGTAGAATGCATCTGCCTTTGTCATCAAGACTGGGAGCACTACTCAGTGGCAGGCCGACTTAGCTCCAAAAGAAATGGCCGCCTCTGACATGAGGAACAGACGCCATGTGCAGCCGCTCCTAACATGGAGTAAAACGCTGCTTATCCTGTATCCCTGGATTAGGAGCCCTAACAGGGTACTATCAGCCGGGCCAGCTGAATCCAGGTGTTTTAGTGAGCTTGTTACTGCTCCCCCTCCTCCTTTTTCATCTGGGCTTGGGACCGGCAAAAGCACCATGTCATTCTTGTCTATAATCCAAATTGTACCTCTCTCATCACTTTGTTAAGTTTTTACTAAAAAGAAGAATTAAGAAAGTAAACTGTCTGCAAAGTGTTTATTTATTTACTGCTTTCATACAAATAAGGATACAAATGGAGGATGAATGGAATAAACTATTGACTTTCCAACAGCCAAGTCCCAGGATTGAATCCCACATTGGGAACCTTTTTTGTAGAAAAAAGTTGCTTCAATGGCTCCTGATTCTTGCACAAATCCAATTACCACCAGTGAGTGCAAGTAACCTAATGGGGTTCTCTGGCACACTTGTAAGCGAAAAAGTTGATATCTTTATAAT